AACTCGTGAATCTGGAACACTGTGTTTCCAGGCACATATGCACACACCCACATCGAGGAGAGGGATCATTGGTCTGGCATTGTGCCACGCAGCCCCTCTGCCCTATATTCCCCGGCCAGTCTGAGGTTAGGAGGGATGAGGACGGCGATATGCTGAGAGGGGGTGAGGGTTAGGGGTTGAGAGGATGAGGGGGGGGGGGCTGCAAGTAAGAACAGGCAGAGTTCAGTTCAGGAACATGGGTAGCTCTTGTCATTCGGCACATTATGATTAATCGATTCAAATCAGTTCTTGCAATAGTGAAATGCGATGGAAATCATGCGTGCGAGTATTTGTTCCTTATGATTCATATGCTGTTTTATGTAAAGCAGTAGCTATTATCATGTTGTAAAGTAAGAATCTTACCAATGTACCTCTATCTCCACTGCTATTCCAGTGTCCAGATTTTGGATTACGATTCCATTGAAGAATCAATATTTTTTTCCCTATTTGGTTAGTACTCTTTTGGACCGTCTTATTAGTATTGTGTCATCTTTCATGTCTGGACATCTGTGCAAAAGAGCTTTATAGCTCCAGATTCCTCCAGTCTAAATAAAGATTCTGATTCTGTCTGTTTTGTCTGTACCATCTGTCGCGTTTTTTATATCTCGTTTGTTCTGTCCCGTTTGTTTCAATCAATTGCCTTGAAAAAGATATATATATATATAATGCCTATAGTTCATACCCTCCACGATTCAAAGAATTGTCACGAATAGGGATCAGGATTATCGGATTCATGAATACATTACTTGTGGCTTTGAAGTGCATTTCAATTTCTTAGTGTCTGCAGAATTTACAAGAAGCACGTAAAAATAGGAGTACTACATTTGAATTTTAGGGCATCAATGCTTACACTCTTAAATGCACGTACCATCATAAAAAAAATTTGAGTGATGAATCATTACACCCCAATTGAACCGAGGCCACCGTGGTGTAATGCTTAGCACACTGCGAACTTGCAATACAGAGGTCTCAGTGCGAGTTGAAACGATGGTCACGTCATAAATATGCCCCCCCCCACCACCCCTGTTCACCTCAGCAGTATAAATGGGTACACGCCACGGTCGGTCAGTAAGTGGCGTGTAGTGGCGTACGGTGTAGGCACCCCCAGCTCTTCCAAAACATCTGCCCAGCATGGAAGAGTAGGCCATATAGCCTCTGGAGGGGCTCTCTAGAGCTCCCTCTATTGGAGGAGCTCTTGCCAGCAGTGGCGTGAGCAATTAATCAGAAGCAGAATATATTTATTTATAAATGGAGGGCTGCACCCTTAACAACCAAACTGCATGGCATGAGAGGCAAGGGCATAGAGGAGGAAGCCACAGAGCAGTGAGCACCAAAACTGCAATGCGAACACAAAAGTGAAATCGGCCCTGGTGAAGGGGCACAGGTGAGGAGGTTAGGGTTAACGGTCAACAGGAGGGCTAATACTCACAGCTAATTGGTTAGATGGTTCGGGTCAATGGGAGGGCTAGTATGAGTGGCCAATTGGCTTGTTGATTTTGGATCGGGATTATACAAGTGGATGATGAGTTTGTGTTCATGTTAGAGCTCGTACTTGTGGCTGGTAAGAGAGTTAAGAGTTAGAACTTGTACCCGTAAGCGAATTGGATAGGGTTAGGGGCTCGGACTAATTCTAGCATTTGGTTGGCTCGTGTGCTCCACTCCCATATTGCTGCTTGTGCCCCTTTTCATCATTGGTTTGGTTTCTGCTGCTTTCAACTCTACTGTGTCGTGCCAGGCGACTCATCACTAATATCCAGCCAAAATGTCAGGCTGCCATGGTCCAGAGTCCAGGTGATTTCGGATAACAATAGGGGGGAGGGGGGGTAGATGGGTGGAAGCTGTAGTAAGTTCAGGGAGCGGTGAATTTGAAGGTCAATGGCAGGTGAGTCTTCTGTCCCTCCTGCTGCGCATGTTTATGCCGATATTACAAAAGGTCATTCTGCAGAACCTCCTATTGCTGCTGCTTTAGAAGCAGCTGCTGCTGCTGCTGCAGCTGAGAAGTAACAGGACGAGGAGGAGCATCTCTGTCAGGGGGGCGGGTGTGAGACTGTGGAGACTGGTGGCGTGACGCTTTGAGGCCGGGTAGAGCAACATTCCTGAGACCTCCCACTTCCTAGATACATAATGATTCGATTCTAACAGACTCTTACATTCACGGTAGCCAATTCGAATCATGCGTCGCGTACAAATCAGTCAGTCGCGCTTAATGTTAACACCGCGAGGCTAATGGAATGAACCGGACAGAACAAACAACAACACAAGATGGAGCGCACGAGAAAGAAAACACAAGCGAGGCAGCAGAAACGAGATGAAGAGTATCCGTTCTTGAATCGAATCGTGACAATCCGAATCGCGACAATTCGTCGAGGGTGGAGGGAGGAGTGAATTGTTACACGTCTACCACTTCCAACCAGCTTCTCCAAGAACATGTTTTGCCTTAGGACAGTGTTGGCTTGTGTCTAAAAACCTCAAGCTAGCAGCTATGGCTGTTACCCTTTGAGAGATATGCTCACGATTTATTTATACTCCCCCCCCCAATCCCAACTCATCCTTAGTTCTGGATCATTGATGAAGTGAGCACAGAATCAGTTTAGGTGTCACTCACCATTAATTTTAGCCAAGGCCAGGAATAAAACTTGGGTCATTGTATGTTTAACTTTTTTCGCACCGTACGGAGCCAACCATACTAAATCGGAGGTGCGGAACATTGCATTTATAGATTTGAAGCTTTTGTGACTGCAAGGATTCGGACTCTTTGTTTTTTTTGGTAAAGTCACATAGGTAAAACATTTTGTTGTTGTTTTCATTTATTTTATTTTATTAATATTTTACCTACGTGACTTTACCGAAAAAACCAAAAGAGTATTGCATTTATAGTTTATTGCTAACGGTTACAGGTTGTGAGCACGTCTCTAATTTTCCTCGCTGTCACCACTGTCTAGAACTCCATCCCTCTAGCATTTCTCACTGCCACCCATGAGAGATGCAAGATATGACAATCAATAAAATCCATTGTTACTTTTTCGATTTAAAGCTTTCGTGACTGCAGGGATTCATCTTCTTGGTTCTTTCGGTAAAGTCACGTAGAAGGGAAGTAATAAAATAATAAAAATAAAACATAATAAAATAATTCTCACGACGTTTCGGCTACAACGCAAGCAGCCGTCTTCAGGTGAAGAATGAGACACTGCCAAGCTAGGAGCTTATATATATGCTGGGTTGGAGGTGCAAGAAGAGCGCCTTAACAAAAAGAATGTGCATATCAAGAAGAATTTAGCATATTCATGGGAAATGCGTAGGAGGTGGGCGGGGGGGTTTCAAAGTCATATTATGCCCATGCAATTGTCTTGAATTAATTTCTAGTTTGTTTTTGTACCTGTATAGATCGTGGTTTTATTGCACCAGAATATATTATCAGGTGGAGCAGTGGCACAGTAATTCCCGCACTGCGCGATATACCAAGAGACCCAACTTTGGTTCCAAGCTATGACTAAACTGAGTGGTGAGTGATACATATGAACAAATCCTGGCCCACTTCTTCGCTAATCCCCCAGTGATCAGCGTGAAGTATGGTCAAACAAATCCCATGACCAACATGGCATGGGGAGAGATTGCGGGGAGATTCACCATTTTATCTTTGGAGAAAGCACTTCCCACTGTGGTGCCTAGCAAACTACATTACCCAACCAATACAAATTCCACATGCACCACGAGTAACTTTCTGACCCGACCCTACGAGGCCATCTGTGAAAAAGAGCTTCGGAGCTCATCGGATTTCTCCGGAATAAAGATTCTGATTCTGAAAGATAAACCACTGCTGAATCGAATCGTGATCACAAAATCACGACAATGCATTGCATCATAGATTGGCTGGATCATTACTCAACGCCTGCCGACTCTGTTGAAGTATTGGCTCGAAACTCCTGCGGTTAACCACTCAACTTTAATTCCTATCCTCGGTGAGCTCACATTTCATGACTGCAATGTTGGTTTCTTAAAGCACAGGGCGGCACAATGATTAACACAGTGAGAAGTCCCTGGGTTGTTTGCCGGACTCGGGCATCTTTCTAAGTGGAGTTTATGTTTTCCTCTTCTTCTGCATGCATTTAATCTGCTTGTGTCCGTTTCCTCCCATAGCTAAAACACACGTGTAGTCTAACTGGTATTGGCTAAACATCCCAATGCAAAAATAAAATACCTGCAAATTACTCAATTCGGATTACACGTAGCAACATGACCGCCTACTGACAGAACTCTCCTGAAAACGAGTCCAGAGACTCGTTGAGGCGTTACCTTGTTAAAAAGATAAATGCTTGACAGCACGCACAGCAACACAGCACCCCCTTGTGGACACGAGTTAACACTCAAAATATAATAATAGCTCTGTAACTAATTCGAGGAAAACTTTACCGAGTCTCGAGATTCGTTTCAGGGCGCATCCTGTAAGTGGGATATTTGGCCAATGTAATTTCGTGAGCTTTTTGGCATATGGGAGTAAACTAGTGTACCTGTATAAAACCCACCATGAGTGCGAGGTTCAACAATGGCCCGCTATACAGAAAGAATCACAGGCCAATTTTCTAGACTATACTGCCATCGCCTGGCCACCTCATCGCGCAGAGCGTTGAGTGTTTTCCAAGATACCTGTGTGATCCACCAACCATCAGCACCAACATCCGGATTTAATCCAAGTACTGTAGTGACTGAATCGGTTTGGGGCCCCCCCTAGGTCGACTGGACATTAAAATGCGTAGCTTATGCAGTGTGTGAATATCAGCATTGGGGAGGCAAAGGTGTCTGGGCACGGCGATGGCCACACCACCACTTCATGCGCTATACCCACCTTGCGAGGGGATCACTAACAGCACTTGCCCTAAGAGCTCGTGTAGGCTATACGGGGATATGTCCTTGTTGTGTATATGCGTATGTGCACGCGTGTGTGGGTATGTGACTGCACTGACCGTAGCTGGGAGAGCTGCCGGGGTCGTCTTGTTCCAGCATCTTCCACAGCTCGTGGAGCGAGCTGCCCCCTCCATCCGACGAGAGCAGTGCCTGGACAGGAGCACGTCCGGCACCGTCGTCGTCGTCATCATCATCATCAACCATTATAGTCAACAGCGACCTCAAGCTTAGTTTTAAAACACTACACATTTTGGGTTTCCTCCAGGTTCTCTAGATTTCCTCCCACAGCAAAAGAAACAATGTCACTGGCATTGACCAAATAGCCCAATGCTGAAAACGTACCTGCAGATTACTCAATTGGGATTACACACAGCAACGTTGCCCCCAATTGCAAACATTTGGCAAAACCCTCCTGAAAAATATTCTTGAGACTCAGCGAGACCTTGCGGGATAAACAAGCAATTTGATAACAGTCGTAAATAGTGACACCCCGAGTGCCGACAAACAGTTGATCTCTCCTGTCCCCATCACCAGAGGTCGCAATCGGGTACCCGATACCCGTACCGTACCCGATACCCGGCCGGGTACGGGCACCTGTTTGCGACCCTGGTGCGGCCGGGTACGGGTACGGGTAGGCCGTGAGTCACTGCTGAGTATCCGTTTGTCACTCATTTCGGGTAGGGTACGGGTAGGGAACGGGTACCCATTTGCGACCCTGGTGCGGCCGGGTACGGGTAAGAAAACAAAACCCGTTTGCGACCTCTGCCCATCACTACTGACCTCACGCTGGGCCGGCGTTGGCGCCGTCAGGCTGCTCCTGTCGGTCTCGCCGGAGTCGGCCGGCGCCGGGAGCGGAGGCACGCGGCGGGAATGCTGGGCAAACTGCAGCTCCTGCAGGTGAATACGCACCATCTGTCTATGTGCAATTAAGTGGATGTGTGTCGGCAGCTGAGTACATGTGCGGGTGTGCACTTGGGTTTTTTCTTCTGCGTGCATGTAAGTGTATGTGCATGCGTGTGTGTCAAAGTGCACGTGGGACAGTTATAGCGGTCGGTGCACTGCGTTACAAACCCAGCAACCAGAGTTTGAATCCCACTCACGGCCAACATCAATGGAGAATCTCGTAACTGGTGCTGAGCCTCCCCTATGTCGACTCAGCGTTAAAATAAGTACCCGGAGTGGTGTGCAAGTCATCACTGAGAAGAAAAAGGGCGGATGTGCGTGGTGCTGTTCCGTGCTGGCCTTTATAGGTGCTCGCGAATATAGCACTTGCCCCAACAGTCTGTTAAATACTCTACGGATATTTACATTGTTTTATACAAGTCTGTGTATGTGTCAGCATATATATTAGAATCTATTACTCATCAGCGGCCAGCCTATAGACCCTATTGACTATGGAGTCATGACCTCTGCTGCACAAAAACACCCACTAAGCAAGTGAGGTGTGGTTTTTCATGTTTGTAATCCAGTGCTTTGGTAAGCAAGGGTAGGTGGGTCACAGACATTTGTGATGCTCCAACATCCTTTGGGTTGCGAGATGGTCAAGAGATAGCAGCACAACAAGTCGGCGTGTAGGTTTGTGAACCCATCGCGTTTCTTCCACTTGTACGCATGGTGGGTGTTCTCCGGGTACTAGTTTCCTCCCGCATGAAGCAAAAGACTCCTTAATAAAGGAATTGGCCAAGAATGCAATGTAGCAGAACCCTCCTAAAAACAGTACAGGCAGTCCCCGACTTACGATGGTCCGACTTACGATATTTCGATCTTACGATGGCGATAGCGATATGACAAAATTGTCAAATATTTTACATTTCGCGCGGCAGGCAAACGCAGCAGCGTAAGAGGTATGATACTGTACGTTGGGACGCTGCCGGGATGTACTGTACGCATATAGTTTATACAGTACGGTACTGTAAATTGCTCTGTTTTGCTAAATTATCACCATTCTTTAAGACTCCTGGGTAGGCTAGGCCATTTTCGACTTACGATATTTTCGACTTACGATGGGGTCGTCGTAACGCATCTCCATCGTAAGTCGGGGACTACCTGTATTGAGACTTGGCGAGACTGTCTCGGGTAAATAAATCTCAATACTATTATTTGTATGTTGTAACGCCACCTGTGATGTCAGCTGGTACTGTAGCTCCTCCAGCTGGGACAGCCGCGTCTTGTCCCCGTGTCCCCGTGCAGACAAGCGGCGCTGTCCGGGATCCGTATCCTCACCCTCCGACTGAAGTTCATCCTCGGACTCTATTGAACAAAAAAAATAAACGGGGTTTAAATGATGGATAAATACCGTTTGTGGGCCGTTTCAAAGCGTGGCAGGCCTCGAGTGGTTGTGGACATATGACATAAAGTTGCGGGAATGGGCCATAGGTCCCCCACTCCTGCTGTAGACTGACAACTAGTTAGATACATTCCAAAGATGGTTGGCCACTAGACTGCTCTGGTAGCGTCTAGTGGATTGTGAGTGAGCCTCCTTCGTGTAGTTTTATTTCACAGATGTATGTAAATGTTTCTTCGCAGAGTCCCGGGATTTCCAATGGCAAGGATTTGTGCCTAACCGCAGACCACAGCAGGAAGCTAGAATTAGACTTGCGACCTGCATGAATGAGAATGCCAACTTCCGTAGTTCGCCGCACTATGTACGTTGAGCTTCTTTCGCACCATACGTAGCCAACCGTGCTAATCAGAGCTGGGACAGTGGTGGGCGATGGGAGGGTGGATGCTGCAATGCTCTGTCCCGTCATGTATCCTCCCACACTTAAACAACCCCTGCCTAAAACCTCATCCGGCCCTCACCGTGCAGGCCTGGCGCTGGCCAGCCGAGCCCTCAGCCGGTTCCCCAGCTCCAGCAGCTGCTGGCGCTCACGGGAGAGTCGTGCCACGTGCCGCGCTGCTTGCCTCAACCTGACCTGCACACGGTACACACCACGTGGATGTTACCACACACGGTGGTGGTGCTTAACAGTGAGGTGACGTGGTGGTGAGCAGTAAGTTGCAGGTGGCAAGGTAATAAGTGAGTAGTGAGGTTATAGTGGCAGCTAGTGGTTAAGTGGTGGTGGTGTAAAGTGAGATGTAAGCCAATGGTAGTTTGCGGTCATTGGTGAGGTGGTGGTGAGGGATGCGATGGAGGCAGTGAATGGCGAGGCTGTGCTTGCAATGTGTTGAGGAGGCAATGGTGTCAAGCGGTGAGGTGGCGTGGTAGCGAGTGGTGAGCAGTGAGGTAGTGGTGGCAGCGAGTGGCGAGATGGCAGTTGTGTAGTGGTGAGTGGTGAGGTCACGGTAGTTGGGAGCCGTGGGCTGCGAGGTGGTGAGCGTTGCCTGCAACTCGGCGACACGAGGATGGGAGGTTTCGGCAACAGCGGCGCCACCGGGATCAGCGATGAGACGCAGCCTGCGCAGATCCTCCTACTCCGAGTGGATCGTGTCACATGGGTCGGAGCGGTAGTGGTGGAGGGTGGATACACACCAACCAGGGATGGAGGGGACAAACACGGGATGGGAATAAATTGCTCCAGTGAAACCGTGAAACTTTCCTTGTTTGGAACGTTCATACTGCTTGGCGTCCACCTCCTGTTCCATCGAGTTTCATGACTTTTTATTTAAATAAGCGTTGTTTATTCAATTATAAGTGCAAATGTTTGAACACCCTCGCTTACTTGAGCATGCATGCACACACATGGACGCACACACATGGACGCACACACGAATACACAAGTGGTGGCGACGTCACCGTGGTGCCTATGGCTAGGCTCGTGTGTAGGCGTGACTGACACACAGAGATACAAACACGAACAGATACACGAATGCACTCACACACCAATGAACGCACACACGCAAAGTACACACACGCACACACGCAAAGTACACACACTCACACACACACACACCTGCCGCGTCAGCTGGGCCACGGTAGCGGCTAGCCGTGCTACCTGCCCCGCCTGCCTCCTCACGGTGGCCTCCAGCTGCGGCTCAGCTCCCCGTATCGCTGGCGCCACACCGGCCTCCCTGATGGCCTTCCCGCCAGCGCCCGTGAGCGCCTCCATCTCCCGCCGCATCTCCCCGATTACGGCGCGCAGGGCAGCGTTCTGGGCGCGCAGGGATGAGTCATCCGTGCCCGCCAGATCGGACTCCTCATCCTAGCAGCAGCACCAGCCACCAGAACAGCAGCAGCAGCAATTAACAAAGCAGCAGCAGCAGCCGCCATAGAACACTACTGGCCAAAGTAACAGCAGCAGCAAATATAACAGCAGCAGCAGTTGGGGCAGCAGCAGCCATATAATAGTAGGGGCTAACAGAACAGCACCAGCAACAGCCACCAGAACATCAGCAGGCAATATAGCAGCAGGAGCAACAGGCAACAAAACAGCAGCAGCAATAGCTGCAGCCAACAGAAGTGCACCAGAAGCAATAAGAACAGCAACAGCAGAAACCAACAGAACAGCAGCAGCCAAATAATGGGAAGCAGCAGCCAAACCAGCTTAGGCATGCTAAGGATTTAATCTATTAATTGATTAAAATCGATTCTTATGCTCACGATACGCACATAGAACCGTGCACGTGAGAATCGCGATTACCTGTGTGGCTCGTTATTCGGAGACACGTTACCTGCGGTTCGGAATCCTGCATAGCGATGCCGTGCTTGAGAAGAGTCGCCACGGCCCTGTCGCGTTCGCGTCTCAGCCGCGCCCCGGCAGACGCCGCCTCGCTGCGCTCGCGTTCCTTCAGCCGCAGCACGGCCTGGGGGCAGCACGAGCAGAGACACACGACGACGCAGAGGGATGGAAGTGATACGACAGGAACATACGGGGAGATAAGAGGAACACACAGGAAGAGTGGGACATTGTGGCACCAGTGGGAGGTACACAGACAGAGGGAGACAGACACATCAGGACACAAGAGTGACAGCCAGACAGTCACAGGAAGACAAAGACAAAGGTTACCCATATAGCCTTAACAGATTGTCGAGGTAAGTGCTGTTAGCGAAGGCCAACACGGCACACAAAGGGGTGGATGGCCAGCACCACTCCCGCCTGCCTTTGTCTCCCAAATGGCGATGTTTACACATTGCACAAGGTACTCATCGAAGGCTGAGTCAACCTCGGAAAGGCCCAGGGCCGGTTCAAATAATTGTCACCGGTGTTGGCCGAGAATTGGAATCGAACTCGGTTTGCTTGGTTCATAGCGCAGTGCGCTAACCACTGCGCCACTGCTCCCCGAAGCAAGATACAGAGTGACAGCCACAGAGACACCGCAGGACACACAGAGACTTGAGCACCTGGTCTCGCGCATGCATGATGGGTTGCAGCACTTTGTCTCCCTGCCGGTGGAGGGCGCTCTCCCGCTCCTCCGCCCTGCGCTGCGAGTCCAGCGCAAGCTGCTCGCGCTCCCTCTCCAGCTCTTCCTGCCGCTGCACGGCCAGCGCCAGCTCTTGCTTGTACCTGCGAGCCAGACGAACCACCGGTGAGACGGCAGAGATGCCACAAGCAGCGAGCGCCTGCACATTCACTTTACAGAAAACGCCACCCAAAAATATAAGCGGCCTCACCTATGCCTCGTGGGGGTTGTATGACCATACTACACCATGCTATTGTATGATCAGTGCAGGTAGACATCACGATATTGCCCACGTTTTGCGGTTTCTGGCCCATATATTCAACCACCAACTTACTGACCAACGAACCCACTCACACACTTTTGCAGAATCTGGCCCAACTACTTGGGGAACTCATTGCCAGTCACTGTCCGCAGTAGACTCAAGACGCAAATGTTCTGTAATGCTTGCAAAGAATAAAAGCACATCCATGACAGCCTTTAGGCTATGAGAACAGCACAAATAATAAACGTACCATTCTATGGTTTATTAGTATTTAATTGAAGAGGCATGGTGGATGCTAAGAACCGGCACTGTATCAACATAAATATATTAAGCTATTGTAAGTCAATGCGAGCTCGGGTATTTAAAATACATGAAAGCTGCGCTTGTTCCTAGGACGGGTTAGAAAGGATTTAGGGAGAATACCGGCGATTTGTATTTATTTATTTAAGACAGACCATTTAAATTTAGACAATTCCCTATATCGATGTTGCTTTGGAAAAGTAAATATGACACTCACGCATGTAACAATTCACCCTTGTCCCTATTATTTGAACAGTAAAAAATTCCGGGTCACGAATTGAAGTAACTCCTTTTGTCTGCTTTGTATATTCTGTCTTGTTCAATCCATCAGCCTACATGTAACATTATATCGAGGTGCATTATGATTCGCTCACACGATGATTCCATCATCACAAATCCGGGTCACGATAAGACTCAAGTTTGCATTGTGTCTTGTGTCTGTGGACTTTTGGCTCCGTCTCTATCACTGGATTAGCCTCAATGTGATATGAGCATTAGGTATGTAATGGGGTCGCGATTTGATTCAAGAATATAATCGTCTTCATCTCCCTTTTGCTGTCTCAGTTGCACTGAAAATAAAATTAAACGTTGTATACAATTTGATTGTTAAATTGGCATCATTTGTAAATAACTTGCATGCACAATTCAATGCAAATATCAAGAGCAATGGGTGTTGCCATGGTGGCGACCTCTGGACTTGCAATCCCAAGGTCGCCGGTGCGATTCAATCTCCCGGTGCGACAATTGAAACGATGGCGCAGCTTTCTTAAATCCCCCCCCCCCCACATCACCATCCACCAAGCGGTATGAATGGGTTCATCACAAGATAGTCTATCAGCAGGTGGTATGTGGTGAAGTAAAGTGTGGGTACTCCGATCTCTTCCAAAACGTCTGGCTGGACTGGAAGAGAAGGCCAAACACACCCGAGTGAAGGCTCTTCCACCAACAGTGGCGTGAGCTTAGAAATTTCAGTGCTGTGCCTTTAGCCGGGCAGTGGTGGCGCACGCCGGTAATCCAAAACTGTTGAGGCGAGGGTTGGTGGATCGCACGAATGTTTCGAAAACTCCATTCCCGTGGGCATCAAATCCCACACCCTGGCTTTCCAGAAGCCAGTACAGAAAAATGCGGATTAATATCATCGATGTCATCTACATGGGATAAAGTGGTGTCCCTTCACAAGCGTGGTTTCCTCCAGATGCTCCAGTTTCCTTCAACATGTTAACACTAATTAAATGGCTGATAACATATTCTATAGAAATTCTGCAGAGTTTGGCAAATGGTTGGCATCGGCTCATCGCCTGGCTGCTGCCTTCCAACTTTGTTCCTCTGCAATTGTTTGTGGTTCCCCAGGAATTGTGAGACGCAATTTGCATGAATGAAGATGCTACATCAAACATATTATTACGACCAATTCATCACGAACAGGAGCATCAATTCAAATTGAAAATGGAGCAGCGAGCCTAATTTGGGCTCCCTACCCCACCCCAGGGACTCTACGAAAGCTGGCAGCTGATGGTGCCGCCATCAGCCGCAAACACCAGAGATCTGGTACGAGCCTGGCGGAGGCGTCCTGACATGCGATGAGCTCAGCGCGCATCTTGGCAAGCGCCTGCCGGTCGGCCTCCGTCTCCACGTCCCTGCGCACAGTCTGTCGCGCCTGCTGTGTCACGTGCGTGTCCCAGGCAGTGCGCGCCAGCTGCAGCTCCTCCCGCAGCCTGACACAAACATTCCCCACATAAGGATTTGCATTTATAGGGCGCTTGTTCATATGCCGCAGCAACTCAATGCCCCTTACGTCACATCTCATCTAAACCGTTTCCATTTCCCTGCTGCAGCCTTACTTCGGGAACCACCAGTGGCAGCTGTGAGTGTGCGGCACAATGTGTACACAACACTGGCCAAACAGTAGGGGGGGGGGTGATGCTGCGGTGTGATTTTTCATGATGTAGTAGTTGGCAGTAATTCATAAAATTTGGAAGACTTCGACCGTGTTGCCAGGACAGATGGCCTACTCTTTTTCGAATAACGTCATAGGATCCTTTATTGTCAACTGTGAATCAGACGTGAACATTCTACGGTTAATATTCCCTCGATATTAACCTGGGTGGCCCCTGGCCTCGAACCGCAAAACTCTGTAAACAAGCAGCAAACGCGCTCCCACATGTCGTTTATTACCCAGCTGCCTTTATCTCCCTAGTGCTGAAGTTCACACGTGGCCAGTTACTCATGTTACAATGCAAAAGGTGATTTATAGGCTGCAACAGACACAATTGGGACCATTAAATCGGTCCTCCCATCATGACTTGCATATCACATGACATCACCATACCGCGTGTATAATTCACAGAGCCTTGTTTTAGACCACCAACTCAAGATCCAAATTTGTGGCCATGTTTTGTTGATGATTTACTCTTACACATTTCCAGCCTGGAATAACTTTTCCACTCGATACATTTCTCAATTTACATGAAGCGTTAGAATTAGTTTAATGTTGACAGTTCCTCCGATTGAGAGACGGATAACGACGTTGATCCGTGCGCGTCTCACTTCTCCATGTCATGGTCCTTGAGGTGTAGGGCATCAGCGTGGCTCCACTCCAGCCGCTTGCGCTTCACCTCCCCATCCTGGAGCTCCCCGCGCAGCTCCCGCAGCTGTGCCTCCAGCGCTCGCTCGCGCTCCGCGCCAGCCGCCCTCACTCGCTCCAGCGAGGCGGCGCTCTCCCGCGTTTGACGGTCCAGCTCAGTGCACCTGCAGCCGCCCAGGGGAAATGTGCATTCTGGATAAGACTTATGGGTTCACGTGTTCCTTGCAGCCACTGGAGGAGCTAGGTTATCCAAAGTCGAAAAAAACATCGATTCGTGTCCCCCCCAAACGTGACGATTCATCGAATGATGGAAACATTCGAATCTGTGGCATTTCAACCATTGGCTCAGTTAAGGTCAGCCACACCATAATGACACTATAACGACATCACTCAAATCCAGGGTTCTCAAGTGTTGCGAGTAGATGGTCTCTCAGCCTGGTCACCAATGGCTGCACATTAAAACTCAGCACATCAAATTTGGTTTTAATCTATTTTGGCTAAATATTAGCTCTTGAGAATTAAAACAAACATTTGGAAAGGGCATGTGGGAAAGCTCGGCACCGCGAGTGTGTGGACAAACAACAAGTCCATTGAAGGGATCTCAGAAGCAGTTCTGTTATAAATCGTGGCCATTCTCGCACTTGCGGTTCAGCAGCTCCAGCTCCTTGGCGTGTGCCGACCGTGCATCCTCAGCCCGTTCCTCCAGCTCCTTGATCCTGCGGCAGAGATAATGGATCGTCGGCATTACCCATTACGTATGTATGTTCAACTTCTTTCACACCGTACATAGCCAATCATGCTAATCGGAGGTGCGGGGGAAGGACAACAAACTAAACACAGCGGACCACCACAGCAGCAAAAACCGCGACCACCCAGAGTTTGCTTGTGTTGAACCAATGCTGTTGAAATTGTGCGCTCGCATAAGGCTGTATGGCTGATGGGATATGTCAAATATAATATTATTGTTTACTGTGGAAGAGTTGGCAAGGAGGCGTATTATCTGCTTATTTATTTTGCTACTTATATTCTTATATTCTCCACGATTTGTGTGAACAAAAGCCAACAATGCAAAGGAACATCAGAACTTAGGGCCGAGACCAAAATGGAACAGAGCAAGGGATCAAAGATTAATACAAAGCACTTGACCCTGTTCTCATCATTCATCAGTTTTTCCCATTCTTGCAGTATTGTTACTATCACCCAGCTTGTTCAGCACCTTGATATTCAGAAGTAACGAGGAACTTAATAAACACAGATTCTACAATTCAAACAGCCTCTCTACTTTAAATATATATTAAAGGTATACATCCATACCATGTTCGCCAGATTATAAAGACACTTCAAAAAGTAATATGCACCCAGGGTCAAAAAATGTATACAAATGTGGTCACACACACACACATACCAGATTATAAGATGCACTGGCAATGATTTATTTAGAGAATAAGGTATATATATCTACATGATATATTTTTAAAACCAGATGACAGCCCATTGAGGAATAAAATCTCTTTCACAAGAGCGACCTTGGGTAAAACCCTGCCAGGTTTCTGATAAAGCCGCCCCAACGTCGTAAATAATCTTCTCAACAGGGCTAAGCAATGGCGGTGTCGCCAATGGCAGCGACGGCAGCTATAGTGCAGCAGCGGTCGTCACCTGGCGTCACGCACGGCCACCTCGTCCCGTAGGGCCCACTCGGCCTCGCGCAGACGCTTCTCCAGCTCCACCTGCGCCTGTCTCGGCGGCTGCCCAGCGCGGCCCCATAGCGCTCGTTCGCTGCCTGAGCTGCCTCCAGCTCCTTGCCCAGCAGCCGAACCTACAGTCCCACAGCAGCATGGCGCTCAGCTCCAGTCGGAAGGCCTCTAAACATTGCTGAACCAATGCTGCTGACATTATGCACTCCCAGGAGGCCGTGTAGCTGATGGGGATGTGCAAAAATATATACTTATATGTTTTATGTGGCGGGACAGATATGTGGAGGCATATCGTCTGCTTATTTATTAATTCTAATACTTTTATTCTCCACAGCGACGCTAATGATATTTTAGTCCTACATAAAGCAGTTCTGAGAACAAAATTTGTTTGATTGACAAATGTGCCGAGTTTTATTTTATGAAGATTTAGTAGGTATAGCTTGGCCCAGAAATGCATCAATAAGTATAAAATTGGTCTTTGTTTCATGACATGATGCCGATAGAACAATTTGGATACAAACCAAGGGAAAAGACAAAATCTACTTGTAAAAATAACATGGCAAATAAAACAAATTCATCAAATTGATGAAGATACGATGGGAAAAAATTCAATGGTCTAACAGTGCAAGGAAATTCAATGTGTCCTACAATACAATGGCTGAACACAATACGGATGAGGAAAGGAGTCATTTAAATGGTTGGAGGTGCCACTTTGTGAAGTTAATGGGAACAATGATCACAGTACTTACAACAGATCTATGTTTTGTCCGTTGTGTCGTGCATTACGTGTGCCTGCCTGCATCACTTTAATAATCACCATTAGCCACCGGAACCAATGGCATTGCCGTGGTTACCTTGAGCTCGTGTGCCAGCACCGTGTTGCTCATCTGGTCGGCATGGAGACGGAATTCGTGCTCGCGCTTTTGCAAGTGCACATCAAACTCGGCGAGCAGCTCCTACAGGACGACACAAGAACACACACAATGCACGTACGCATGCACACACACACACATTTCATACACACGTGCATCACACACGCACACATGTGCATCGGTGCACATACACAATATATACATGCACTGCACACAAAGACATCATGCATACACATTTAGATTGCGCATACACACACCATTCACACACATGCATCTCACTCGCCATACACAAAAGTGCATCGCACAAACACATACATATGTAGCGAAGTAAATTGAGTCACTACGGCGTTTTGCGCCAGCTACTGAGAGGAGAGTGCAACTGTGCGTGTTAGAGCCTCTCTCTGGCACCAGAGTATGTATGGCATGGAAGGGGGCCCTAGGGGGTATGGTTCTGGTGACAGCCAGAGAGAGGGCGGTTGAGGACGTGACAGTCTAGGCCAGGGGTCGGCAACCTACGGCTCCGGAGCCGCATGCGGCTCTTTACGGGCTGCTTCTTGACGATATGTACGTATGTACAGTATGTTATCAGATGCATTGCGGCTCTTGAAATACTGAATGTTGTACCGAATTGGAAAGAAATGTCTCTTCTTGTTATTTTGGTTGCCGACCCCTGGTCTAGGTGAACCCGAGAGAGCACGTGACCAGGACAGGACAATGAGGGGGGACAAAAGGTGGCGAGACTGACACGTGATGTATAGCCCAGAACCTTCTAGTAGGATCTAGAAGGGGGCGTGGCCGACGGCAGAGCCAGGCCACGCTCAGGGGCATAAAAGGGAGGTCCCCGAGAGCTGATCGAGGCTGTCTGTTGGAATGAAACTTGTCGGTGCTACGTCTCTTCAATCCTCGGTCTTCGGTCTTTACGCTCGGGACAGTGGGTCAGGCAGTGTGTTACTGACTGACCTGGTTATGTAGTTACCCCGTTGTGGTCTAGTTACCCCGTTGTGGTCTAGTTAACCTGTGTACGTTTATGTAGTTACTCTGTTGGGTTATGAGAATAAACGTGTTGCCTCCAAAGTCAAGTGTATGCGTCCAGTAAACCTACGACACATGCACCAAAAGCTGACATTTTCACACATGCAGCCAGACACAAATATGCACACACGCAGCAAATACACATGCTCTGAACACAAATACACACAACCACACACAAGCACATTTAGCTCACGCACACACACACACACAAAAACAAAATGTATAGCTTAACATACACACATGCATCACAAACACACTCAGCATACACATCCAGTGAGCATCTACTATTGGGCGGGGATGGTGTAACCAACACCATGCCTGAATATGACATTTACACATCACAACAGGTACTCATTTAAGGATGCGTCAACATCCGTCACTAATGTTCGCTATGGCTCGGAATCAAATCGATGTCACTGGGTTCATAGCGCGATGCCCTAGGCATTGTAGCCGCCATTCGCTACGGCAGTTGTACCACCACACACACAAATTATGGCTAGGCTTTGAAATCCACAGCGAAAAACCCACAAATGCATGCATTCACTTGCCACAGACAAGAGGCCTGCCGTGGCATCTGAATTTCAGGAATGGATGGCGCTCCGAAAGAGTTGCAGCTAAACTGCCCCCTCTCCACGCACCTGCTTCTGCAGGCCGAGCTCCCCACAGGTCTCCTCCACCTTTCTCTCGAGCTCCCTCCTCAGCCGCTCCAATTCCTCGCTGCGCTGGCTCAGCTGAGCCTCCACCACCCTGTGCACATCGCACACACAAGCAACAGTTCAGCACCAGGGCAATATACAAACAAGCTGACAAAGCAGAACATTATGGGCACCTCTATTCTGATACGATGCACTGCTGGAAGGCAATTTGGCAAACAGGTTGTGTGAAAAATATTTTTATATTTATTTATGTGGCAAGACAATTATGAGGTTATTTATTTGATTAATGTTCTCCACTGACATTTGATAACTTTCTGTTCTGATACACGAGCCCACAAACACCCACTAGCGATAATCGTGTTGGTACACATTGTATAAAAAAGTGCTATATATAGTAAAATGCAATTATCTGATTCCCAATCTTACTCCGAAAACTATATGCATCTGGGCAGTGGCATTGGGGAGCTGTGGTACGTTTCGTAGTGATTGCTTTAAGGGTTAATACAGTTTTCGTGGAAACGTGGGTAACGTTTACAGACATACAGACAGACAAAACATTTCCCGGGCATAGCAATAAGAAGCCTATGTTACATGTATAGTGTGGGAATGAGGCTTCTCCACTTCGTGTGGGTCAGAGGGGTTATCTGACCATACTTCGGCATGCTGGTCATTGCGGGTTGGTAAAGGCGGGGGACAGATGCTGGAGCATAGCATAGTACTACAAGAGATGACTGCACTCACCTCTGCTGACAGCTAAGCCCTGCATCTAAAAAGATTGGAACATTCTGGATGCTTATGCTAGCAGCCTACTCAAGCAATTAGTCAGGAAATCATGTGTAAAAACAATCAATAATTATATTTACAACACCTATATTCCCACATTACATGCTATTTTTTTACGCTCGCATTACACATGTAAAACACACTTTTTAGTTGGTGATGTGTTGAACTAGAGCTTCATGTGTCCATAAACCCATTCATATGCAAATGAATTCCGCAACGTAATTAAACAAATATGCTAATAGCTAAATACACATTTGACTATTAGCACAGCAGGGTCATCTCTACCATTAGCAATGGGACTCCACATTCAACATGAATGCCAACACATTCGTTTTGCACGTACATCTGTAGACCTTTGTCAATCCGCTGCTGGCTGAGGGGTGCTCCCTTCACCTGAGCACGTTGTGGAGATAACTTTACCATACTTCACCACCATTACTGTGGTTCGTGCAAGTTGGTGGAAGTGGGGAGCAGACGTGACAAAGATCCCCCATATAACCCTTTAACAGACTATTAGGGCAAGTGCTGTTCGCAAGCACCTACAAAGGCCGGCCACAGGGCACGAGGTGGTGGGTGGCCAACACCACGCCCAGCCGCCGTTGTCTCCCCCAATGGAGATGTTTACACACTGCAACAGGTACTCATTTGAGGCCGAGTCGACCTAGGGGATGCCCAGAACCGGTTAAGATAATCGTCACTAGGTGTTGGCCTTGAGCGGGCATCGAACTCAGGTCGCTGGGTTGGTAGCGCAGCACGCTAAACGCTGCACGACAGCTCCATGATTTATCCGTGTTGAATGCTGTACGCCAGTGATGGGCAACCTCTGATTAGTACGGTTGGCTATGTACGGTGCGAAAAAAGTTCTACATACATAGTGAGTAATAACATGAGCCCCCCTTCTTCAACTCAGTGGGCCACAAGCTTGAAATCGTGCTTGTGCACTAAGCATGAGCCAACGCACAAACCTAAAGACACTAAAAACAGGCCACCACGAGGGGCACCTTGAGTCACAAGTTGCCCACCACTGCTGTACGCAGAAAGAAAACATTTATATCAGTGAACACATAAAATGCAGGCATGCAGCGTGTTGCGTTTATAGCAAAAACTTTACCAAGGGACTTATTTTTTTCAAGGATTTTACGGGTCACTACAGTTCAAGACAGTGGTTTTAAATGTTACAGCCTACGCTGTGCACATGAACTCCTTGACATCTTGAAACCAGCATAATAAAATGTTTCTCAACCACAAATAATGTTTGCGGTTGGGAAACATTTTTGGTTATTTTCAACATACTTATCCTTACACTATGGGGACCTCATTTGCCAGTAAAAATATGATAATTGGTTCTTTAACCAGATAGAAGGGTAAAGAACCAATTATCATACTTATCCTTCACGCAAATATCAAACATGCATAATTAAACCATTTAATATAGATCCTCTTCTCGTAAGCCACATTCCTTTCGACAATTCATTGTGAAAGTGGCACATTTTGTGCCCTGACCAAGTGCTGATTTCACGCCAGACAAAAATGAACCTCCGGCCCAAGTTTTTAAACAGAACCGTCTGCTGAGTCACAACCAAAGTCAGACCGACCCACGTGCCCTCTCCGTGTCCAGGCGGAGTTCCCGCAGCCTTTCACGGTGCTGCGCCATCTCCTCCTCGCCGTCGCGCCTCGCAGCGGCCAGGGCGGAGCGCAGGCGGTCGGCCTGCACGCTCAGCTCGCTGACGTGGGCACGTAACTCCACGTTGTCGGAGCGTGCGCTCGCCAAATCCGCCTCGCAGTGCTCCAGCTCACCATCGCGCTCCTCCAGCAGCCTGAGGTTGAACTGCACACGATGGAGATGAGACATGGTGCAAAGTCATGATTAGAGTTAAGATAATTGATTTCTGAAGTAATGAATTGGCTCATGCTTAGTGCACAAAACAGCTCTTGCATGCGTTATGTTTATTTGTCTTTGACTTGACAAAAACCATCAAGCATATCGGTGATTACGACTACACACCAAAGACAAGACTAAATTAATGAGTATGAATGAAGACACAGGCTGAAATCATTTGGCAATGTTGAGAAACAGCAGTAACTGAGAAAGACCAAATATGATCATTGGTTATACAGTATACGTATTAAAACATGTTTTGAAAAATATTATGTACCCCTCACACCAAAATGTAATAACCAAGAGCATCTGACTTGAATGTCATTGACTAGACTAAGAGAATTATGAAATACAATCCAAGACTCGACGTCCACTCCACAGGTCGTCGTCATCAACTAAACCGAGGCTAAAAATAAACAATGCAAACTAAGTTAACACTGGGATCCCACGAGGCACCTTGAAGTCATCCTTGAGCTGCAGGAAGCGCTCCCTCTCCTCAGCAGTCGCCCTCTCCGCTCGCCGCACCGACTCCGCCAGCACACGCGCTCGCAGCTTCTGCAGCTCGTGCCACTCCCGCTCCTTGTCCCCGAGGAGCCGCTCCAAGCGGCTGCTCTCCTCGTCCACTTCGGCGTCTGGTACGGCGCACGATAGGGCCACCAGGGGGGCCACCGGCAGCGGTTCGGGTTCACCGCCCAGCATCGCCGGCGTGAGAAGCTGCTCGGGAGGAACCGGCATCTCCTCCCATTTACACCTGGGGTCAGCGGTGGCGACGTGAGGGCTTCAACTCTAAGAGACATGGCAAAGGAGGTTACTGGGTTTCCGATTCACTTATTCAGTTAATGAAGACGCTTCCAAGCACGTGCCGAACAATTGTTTTTTCCGCAGCTAAGGTCCACTGAGCTATATAGCTCTTTTTCAGAAGCAACCTGGCCACAAATGGTAGCTCAACGAAGTGGCTTAATATGTGGAAATTTATAGCAGCGAAATACTCTAAACATGGAGGACCCGGAGGAATCCACGCGACCACAGGGAGAACATGCAAACTCCAAATATAAGCAGGCGTCAGGGTTGGGATGAAACCCACAACCTCCTGTATACCAGGTGAGGCAGTTAGCATCTCGCCACCATGGCACCCCAACGCACGGGACAACCCAAGAACATTGAGTACAACCAGGAAAACCTATGCTGTAGTATGGTTAACTTTTTATTTCAAGTGACCATTATTCGATATAAGGTGGTTTGACCAGCATGGTGAAGTATGGTTAAATAACCCCAATGGCTGGCATGGAGTAAGGAGCCCTCATCCAGCAGTGGATTGGCAAGGGCTGTACAAATACACGGTAATTTGCATGTTTTGTTACTGCAGGTTCAACCTGAACTAGAACTGAATTGGCTTCTCGCAAGCGGTACTCCTTAGTGTCCTTGAAATATCGTGGCCGGATAATACCTTGTCCCTACATGTGATGTATTTTTGGAGGGCCAAATAAAACCTGTGAAGAACATTGTAACGGGACACTGGAAGCTCAAAAATGTAACAACGTGGAGAACTATGCTGCCTTGTTATCCATAATACAGTTTTTTTTTGGTATTAAGCTGCCTTGTTGTTATCTGGGCCCGAAAGTTGCACATAAAAGTCACGAGGCATGCATGCAATCTGTTTAGTTGTGCAACGACTGTAGCATTGGGACCGTGCATTCCAACTTGTATTTTCAGTGGTTTTAACCTTTTCCTTGTTGCTATAGGTATCTTACATTACAAGCTGTAATTGGACGGATTTGGTCTTCATGGAAAGAATAGGGGTTTTGTGATTGCTCCAACTCAAAGGTCATACCCATTTACATGGTTTTAAAATTGGGTGGGGAGCTTTCAAACACTTTTCCTTCAATTACATCCTTTGCTTTATACACTCACTGTAACCTTTGCAATATCTACAGGGCCAATCATGACAAATCCAATTTACCCCGGTATTTCCAGATCACGTAGTGCTTCTTCATTGGTCATTGTGCTGATCATAACCAACCAGATTGATGCTGGATTCTGCTCTTGTTACAGAATTCAGCATGGCAATTGCTCAGGGTCTCAATACATATACAACTCCTTTTAAAGTTCATAGCTGGCTGAGGGCCTACCTACAAAGTACAGTACGGCAATGTTTCCTGGCCATACTTCTCCACACTTGGGTGGTGCAGGCTAGGATCATAGACAGAGTAGAAGTGATTTTCTGAACCTGCTATAAATAGGATCCGACTCGACCTGCCAATTTTAACATAGCCCGACCAGCTCAAACTTCACCCATCCTGACCTAGCAAAAGTGAACTTGACCCGAGCAGGCCAAACTTGACCACGTAACACAACCCTTACCCACAGACAACCAGATCTAGCCTAACTTGGTAAATACAAAACCCAAGCGGAACGTGTCAGAACATAGAAAAATAGCGTGGTTCAAAAACGTGGTCATTGTCAAAAAAAAGTGTGCCAAGCATGAAAGATTAATGCTTGCAATTACGGTACAGTATATACGAAGGAACGCACGGTACAGAAAACATACGCAGGTAAAATTACACGATTCTAACCGCTTATTAAAGTGGGCTTGGGCAGGACAAGTGGCTACAAGCCACTATGAACCACGGTGAAGAGTTGTCAACCACGACCACCAACGGAGTGACAAGACAAGGAAATAGAACGTGGAGACGGAGCGATGGCACGGGCTCGTGTGCAGGATCTAAAGTTACATCGTAGGATTGGAAAGATAGTGGCTTTGCATACCTGTCAAACCCTTCTTATCACCCTATTGCAGACCAACTCAGACCTTACTGGTCACCATGTGCCCCTTATAAAGCTCAACGTTCAGCCTGCAACGTCCCATCGCTAAGAAGAAACACAAATACTCACCACTAGTACACTCACCACTAGTACACTCACCACTAGCACACTCACCACCAGTACACTCATCACTACAATCACCACTACTACACTCACCACTAGCTCACTCACCACTAGTACACTCACCACTACACTCACCACTAGTACACTCACCACTAGTACACTCACCACTAGCACACTCACCACCAGTACACTCATCACTGCACTCACCACTACTACACTCACCACTAGCACACTCACCACCAGTACACTCATCACTGCACTCACTACTACTACACTCACCACTATTACACTCACCACTAGCACACTCACCACCAGTACACTCACCACTAGCACACTCATCACTAGCACACTCATCACTAGCACACTCACCACTATTACACTCACCACTAGCACACTCACCACTGCACTCACCACAAGCACACTCACAACTGCACTCACCACTAGTACACTCACCACTGCACTCACCACTGCACTCACCACAAGCACACTCACCACTAGCACACTCACCACTGCACTCACCACTAGCACACTCACCACTAGTACACTCATCACTGCACTCACCACTACTACTACACTCACCACTACTACTACTCACCACTAAATACCTGTCAACCCATTATCAGTGCCTTACCTTATTACAGACCAACTCAGACCTTACTGGTCACCCCGTGCCCCTTATACATCTCAATGTTCATCCTGCAAAGTCCCATCACAAGGGAGAAACACAAATAGACACTCACCACTAGTACACTCACCACTAGTACACTCACCACTAGCACTCACCACTAGCGCACTCACCACTAGCACATTCACCACTACACTCATCACCAGCACACTCACAAGTACACTCACCACCAGTACACTCACCACTAGTACACTCACCACCAGTACACTCACCACCAGTACACTCACTACTACTACACTCACCACTAAATACCTGTCAACCCATTATCAGTGCCCCATCTTATTACAGACCAACTCAGACCTTACTGGTCACCCCGTGCCCCTTATAAAGCTCAATGTTCATCCTGCAAAGTCCCATCACAAGGGAGAAACAAGAAACACGTTGTTGTTCTGTTGTTGTTGTGTTGTTGTTGCCCGCACTGAAACGACTGTACGCCGTCTGGCCGTGACAACTCAACTTTCCCTGCACAACAACACGTGGTGAACCGTACGGGTTGACAGGTATGGCTTTGACGGGGGGAGGTGGGGGGGAAGAGGAGGCCTTCATCCAGCAGTGGATTGACCATGGCTGCTGAGGAGGATGATGAGGAATGATGAGGAGGAGGATGATGATGAGGATGATGATGATGAGGAGGATAAGAAGGATGATGATGAGAAGGATGACGACGATGATGAGGATGAGAAGGATGATGATGAGGATGATGATGATGATAAGGATGATGATGATAATGATAAGGATGATGATGAGAAGGATGATGATGAGAAGGATGATGATGAGGATGATGATAAGGATGATGATGATAATGATAAGGATGATGATGAGAAGGATGATGATGAGAAGGATGATGATGAGGATGATGATAAGGATGATGATGAGGATGATGATGAGAAGGATGATGATGATGATAACGAAAATCCGAACCCACGCGGCTCCTCACCCAACGCGGCCGCTCTCGAGTCTGAGCCCAACGGCCGCTTCCGTCGCCCGGCTATTTATTTATTTATTATTTACAAATCTCGCGAGACTTCCCCACCCCGCCGTGCACGTTCATGGGAGGGAGAGAGGGGGGGGGTAAGTCTCGCGAGATTTTGAAAGCGCGCGAAATTTGATTAACTTGTATTAGTCGGCGGTCTACCCGATGTAAACAAATACGATCACAGTAACTTGGGACCGTCGGCTTTGATTGTAAATCGTGTCACAGACTAAATTGGCCGTGCGTTTCTCTCATTACAACTCAGAGGAGGTTTGATCGATTGCCTCAGTGTTGTGCATATGCAAAGCTGTCATCCCATACGGTTTACGCCGTGTTCTTGTACAGGGAAAATTAATACTCTTAGGTTTTTTCGGTAGTCAGGTAGGTAAAAAATAAGTAAATATTACAATAATAGAACTACTAATATAATTTTTTTTCTATACTATATCTATTAGAAATAATATAAATAATAATAGAAAAATAATAATAGCATTTTTTTTTCTATTATTATTTCTATTATTTTAATATTTACTTATTTTTCCCCTACGTGACTTTACCGAAAAAACCTAAGAGTATAAGTTTTTCCTGTATAAGAACACGGGGTAAACTGTATGGGATGACAGCTTTGCATATGTACAACACTAAGGCAATCGATCAAACCTCCTCTGAGTTGTAATGAGAGAAACGTAGGCAAAAAGAAGTAAATAATAAAATAATAGAAAAAAAGCTAATCTTATTTTTCTATTATTTTTTATATTATGATATAATAATATTTATATTAATAATATTTATATTATTATATAGATTTATATTATTATATAATAATAATATATTTTTTCTATTATAGAAATAATATTTTTTTATTTCTATTATTATTTATATTATTATATAATGTAATAGAAATAAAAAACAATAGTTATTTCTAATATTTAATTATTTACTTACTTTTTCCCTACGTGACTTTACCGAAAAAAAACCTAAGAGTATGAATCCTTGCAGTCACGAAAGCTTCAAATCTAGAATCAGGGAAAGTTAATTTTCAGGTCCATACGGCGTACAGCCGATTCAAGACGGACAAACAAATTGTCTATTTGTTTGTGTTCCTAGCGATGGGACTTTGTATGATGAACGTTGAGATTTATAAAGGGCACGGGGTGACGTCTGAACTTGTCTGTAGTAAGGTAAGGGCACTGACAGGGGGTTGACAGCTATGCATCATATGTAATGCACATGTCCCCATGCCTTTTGTCACAGCACTTCTGAAGATGCCGTGGAATTGAGCAAATTAAATTTCGATTTAAAGCTTTTCGTGACTGCAGGGATTCATCTTCACCTGAGGACGGCTGCTTGTGTCGTGGCCGAAACGTCGTGAGAATTTTATTTTATTGTGTTTTATTTTAATCATTTTCTTATTTCCCTTCTACGTGATTTTACCGAAAGAACCAAGAAGTATTCTTTGGGTTTTTCGGTAAAGTCACGTATAAAGATAAAATAATAAATTCAATAATAGCATACGACGTTTCGATTGCAACACAAGCAATCATCATCAGGTATAATGAAATAGCGACATAGAATCTAACCAGAAAACTATAGACAGACATATAAGCACACATATATCACCAAGATACACAGAGAGAGCAACCCAGAGAGCAACCCCTCTCTGTACTTGTGTTGCTCTCTCTATGTATCTTGGTGATATCTGTCTGCTTATGTGTCTGTCTATAGTTTTCTGGTTAGATTCTATGTCGCTATTTCATTATACCTGATGATGATTGCTTGTGTTGCAATCGAAACGTCGTATGCTATTATTTAATTTATTATTTTATCTTTATACGTGACTTTACCGAAAAAAACAAAGAATAATTCCTGCAGTCACGAAAGCTCCAAAATTAAGATTGAACCAAGAAGATTGTGCAAGTTCCCCGCTGATTTCGCCATTTAAGCACGAGGGGGAAAGAAATCGGTGAAAACCGTTGCACACCACACACACGCGACAATAACAACAACAACAACGTTTAAATCGTATTCTTGGTTCTGTCGGTAAAGTCACGTAGAAGGGAAATATTAAATAATAAATATATAAAACAATAACAAAAATTCACGTTTCGACTGCAACACAAGCAATCATCATCAGATGTGAAATCCACAGCGAGAAAAAAAAAATCTTTTTTTTTCTTTTTCAAGATTTCTTGCTGTGGATTTCACACCTGATGATGATTGCTTGTGTTGCAATCGAAACGTCGTGAGAATTTTATTTATTGTTTTATATTTTTATTATTTCCCTTCTACGTGACTTCACCGAATGAACCAATAATATGAATCCCTGCAGTCACGAAAGCTTTAAATCAAAATTTAACGTTCACATCGTTTGAATCACAAGGTCAGGTTGTATTGTGATCTAAAGGACATCTCGTATCCGACCCTGCGTGTTGGGGGTAAGAATCACAACAAGCACGACCCACCAGCTACCTCCTAAACGCTAGACTACAATCAGTGGTTGGTAGAAATCTCTTAGAGGTGTATTAAAAAAAGTATTAATTGCTTGGGGGATATAAAATACTGTACTTTAAATGTACAATACATTCCTGTGGTATGTAACGGCTGGATGAAGCCAGGGCCACGGCGTCTCGGTCAATGTGGTTGTGTGTTCATAGTTGACACAGTTGGAAACAATAGGGGGGGGGGGTGTGCACAGCCCAATCACTTTAAGATGTTTTATTGTTTTTGTTTTTTGTTTGTTGCGGTTGCACCCGATTCAAGAGCCGAATGGCTCACAGGGCTCTCCCAAAAAAATGAAAAACTGAAAAAAAAATCTCAGTCGGTCGACCCCATGGCACCTGCCAGCGGGCGTTCGACACTACCACGTGGCCTTAACGTGCACGTAGCCTGGCACCGGCGCCGTGGCGACATCACCGCCACCTAGTGGCGAATGGCGGTTGTTGTGTTCAACGTGGGGAGCGGTGGTGTAGTGGTTAGCGCGCTGCGCTGCGAACCCGGCCACCCGAGTTCGATTCCCGTTCACGGCCAACACCGGTGACGATTATCTGAACCGATCCTGGGCCTCCCCTAGGTTGACTCAGCCTCAAACAACTACCTGGTGCGGTGTGTAAACATCGTCACTGGGGAGACAAAGGCGGCCGGGCGTGGTGCTGGCCACCCACACGTGCCGTGCCGGCCTTCATAGGTGCTGCTCGCTAACAGCACTTGCCCTACAGTTTGTTAAGGCTATACGGGGGATCTTTGTCTTTATCTTTGTCTCCGTGTTTGTGTGCGAGGGTGTTCGTATATCTGCGTGTATCTGTGTTTCAGGAGAGTCCTGACAAGGTTTTAACAGCAGGGGGCGATGTTGCTGTGTGTCATCCCAATTGAGTAATTTGCAGGTAAATTTATCAGCATCGGGATGTGGGTCGTCCAATGCCATTTACAGGCTGCGGGGCATTATTAGTTTTAGATATGGGAGGAAACTGCAGAATTACGCACGTTTAAATCTAAATTTAAAACACATTCTTAGGGTCTTTCGATAAAGTCACGTGCTTTCCTACGCACCTTTCGGGGTTTGTTCGACCCAAACCATCGGCGGTGGAAATTCCACACTGCCGTGTCTCGGGCTGTCCGTCTGTATGTCTGTCTCCGTATCTGTTTCCGTGTCTGTTGTGTGTGCGTCTGTTTGCCCAACATCATAGTTACCCTATGAGCTGCCCTTCACACACACACACGTGTAGACTCTTCTGACACACACACACACACCTCTGTTACGAGGGTGATTTCCACAGTGAGATTTCCACGCTTCTTGGCAAGGGCTCGTACTTGTGCCTCCTCGCATTGATTCAGAAGTCACCAGCAGCCCCCGCTAACTTTCATTATCTCACCGGGCATGGGTCCTAAAAAAATTTACCCGTAAAAACAAAGTTTTTCACTATAAATCCTTTATATGCGTGGCATCGGTTTTATTTTATTATTCATTTCTGTTTTTCTTGAGTAAGAGTTTCATTTTTATCACATTGGTATTTTAAATAAAATATGAAAAAAAAATTCCACAGACTCGTTGTCACGAACAACGAGTCTGTGTGCAAAATGTCAGCTCGATTGGATCACGGGAAGTGGGTTAAAAAACGACCGAAAGATTTGCACGGTCGTAAGCTGCTCAGGTAGGTCCTGATTTGGGAACGTTTTTAAACCCCTGATGTTGTGTATGGTGCATTTTTTTAATGTTATGCATTGATGCTATGTCGTGTATAGTGCATTTCAATTGTTTTACAGTGATGTGTATAATACTGCACATCCTTGAAACAGAGCTTTTTTAGCTCATCGTATTCCTCCAGTTTAAATATTTGATTCTGATTAAAGGGGATAGAATTTTAACATGGAACAGAGTAGCAAGCTACTGTTAAAGTAGATTATCGGTAAAAATACTGTTAAAGCAGATTATCGGTAAATATTGATATTAGTGTACGAGTCTGTAGCTTCATCTTATACTACTTCTTCAAATTAGCTTCTCAAACATTGGTGTGCCTATGTGTTCACATGTGGAACAGCTGCAACTGTCTTGGAACTTTTAGGCTGGGCTGCCTACGATCCATCATCCTGGGTTTAATCAGGCTGGATGTATAGTCATTCCTAATCTAGTGTTTAACTTTTTCAATAATTACAAGATATGTTTTGCCCGCCATTCCCTACCCAGATACTTGGAGAAAATCATTGCCCAGTGGTGTTTCTTATGGGCCACGGTTCGAGAATCCTCTGCTGGAATATATCTCTTCTACCTTTAAGAATTGTGATCAGTTCCAGATAGGAAACCAATTCTGATGTATCTTCTTGGTTCTTTCGGTAAAGTCACGTAGAAATAAAATAATAAAAATAAAACATAATAAAATAATTCTCACGACGTTTCGGCTACAACGCAAGCAGCCGTCTTCAGGTGAAGAACAGGTCTGTCAAGGAGACAGAGTCTGAATGGCCATTCAGACTCTGTCTCCTTGACAGACCAGGGTCTGAATGGCCATTTAAGACAGACCAGAGTCTGAATGGCCATTCAGACTCTGTCTTTTTGACAGACCTGTTCTCCACCTAAAGACGGCTGCTTGCGTTGTGGCCGAAACGTCGTGAGAATTATTTTATTATGTTTTATTTTATTATTTTATTTCTACGTGACTTTACCGAAAGAACCAAGAAGATGAATCCCTGCAGTCACGAAAGCTTTAAATCGAAATTCAATTCTGATGTAGTTTGTGATGTAATTAGAAAAGAGCTAAATGGGTGATTGCTGGATTAGATGATGTCACGTGCTTAGCCACCCCATTAGAATATCAGTGAGTTGACTATACCGATAAGGGGTCATTCAGTTCATCTCGCTCAGTTGGGGGGTGGCGGTGGTGATGAAACGCAAGCTGTGAGAATCAGTGCTGGACTACGAGACAATCGCCGGGCTGAAAGCATTTAAAGTACGATTTAAAGCTTTCGTGACTGCAGGGATTCATCTTCTTGGTTCTTTCGGTAAAGTCACGTAGAATGGAAATAATAAAATAATAAAAAATAAGAATACAGCATAATACAATAAATCTCACGACGTTTCGGCCACAACGCAAGCAGCCGTCCTCAGGTGGAGAACAGGTCTGTCGAGAAGACAGACAGACTCTGTCTTCACTATGGGGACCTCATTTGCCAGTAAAAATATGATAATTGGTTCATTACCCTTCTATCTGGCAACAAAACTGACACCTTTTTGCAAGGAGTCATGTTTGCATAGACCGCAATACCTGCAGTCATAATACAAACAAAAGAACATAACTCTGATAATGTGCAATGTGCACATTATCAGAGTTATGTGAAGAACAGGTCTGTCTTTCCGACAGACTTGTTCTTTCCGACAGGCCTGTTCTTCACCTGAGGACGGCTGCTTGCGTTGTGGCCGAAACGTCGTGAGAATTATTTGATTTGATTATGTTTTATTTTTATTATTTTATTATTTCCCTTCTACGTGACTTTACCGAAAGAACCAAGAAGATGAATCCCTGCAGTCACGAAAGCTTTAAATCGAAATTTCAGAGTGAGGTGTTTTGGGTAAGTGAGCGTAAACAAAATGAGTGTTCAAGTTCATCGTGTTAACGCAGTTGAGAACGCAAAGACACCTGGAGAGTCCCTTTTGCAAGAGGGACCCTTGGTCACTCCGAAATGCCAAACAGCAAAACAAATAAAGTCGAGCAATGACGCGAGTGAAGCTGAAGCAAACGGAAAGCCCAGGGAAATGAATGACCATGGGTGATAAATACGTTCAAACAAAGACCCCCCTTGATATTGGGCAACTGCAGGCGCCACATTATTGAAGTGTCATCGAATAACCGCATTGACCGGCAGGTGCCTTGGAGAGGCCTTCCTCCAGCGGATGATTGGTGACTGACAACGAACTGCAAATTATTATTTACAGCTTTGTGACGGATTAATATTAGTTCAAAGAATATGTAAACCATTGGAACCTCATTTGCCAGTAAAAAATATGATAATTGTTTTTTACCCTTTTATCTGGCAACAAAACTGAGGTTCCAATGGTGTAAATGCTTACCCCGAGTTCTCATACTCTGATGGTGCATTGTCTTTGAGTTGTGCACCTTTTGGCGTCATCTGGCCCAACACCATGTGAGACTAGGCTCTAAGGAAAGCTGTCTCGGGTGTGGACCAATGAACTTCAAGGACAGTGCATACATTATCAGAGTTATGTTTTTTGTTTGCATTATGACTGCAGGTATTGTGGTCTATGCAAACATGACTCCTTGTAAAAAAAGGTGTCAGTTTTGTTGCCAGATAAAAGGGTAAAAAAACAATTATCAGAATATGTAAAGTCCGCACCCTAAAGTGTTGGCAAAACCAGCGACAGTCCCCCATCGTTATCATGACTGTCACTGGCAGGCCCGAGTAACCATTTGCTGCATAGAGACAGCTGTCACTGGGGGGGTCTCCTCCTGCGAATGGTTGAGATGGGGAATTTAAGCAATGTCCTATGAATGCAGCAAACATTATTTACGACTGTCATTATCAGTTATTGAGGTTAATCTACAGGTGGTGTTGGTGGTAGCATGTACATTGGTGTGTAACCCCTGTGCCTACCATATATTTTAGCCGTCTAAAAATATAATGAAATGGATACTTATCAGAAGAACAGGAATGTTTTCTGCCGCTTTCATCCACTTATTTTCACTACACTAAAAGTACAGCGGATATGCGTAGGTTTACTTTCGTATGCGATACTGGGCCTATGACAAAATCACCTGGAATGTGTCCGATCTTGTCTCAACTGGGCGGCTAGGCTGGGTTGCCAGTGGCTACCGAGGGATCATTGTGTGTCTCGGCCTCGATGTGCACTGCGTTGCAGCACTATCCGAGTAGTAAAACCTCGCATTCAATAAACCTTCAGAGCCAGGGTGAACATCCGATTCCAACGTATTTAATTAATTAAACGAGGTAAAACCGATGGAAAAACAGCACAAAATACAGCATCTTTTAATACTTGCAATATCAATACAATTAATGAACACTTCAGCATCACAACATTGTCTTAGATAACATGAATCTCAACAATAGGTCCTAGATGGACCAGGCACCTACATTAGCACTGAATAGCTATACAAGAGAATAAGTTATTGTGTTAAATAAGGTCACTTTGTGTAATCACCATACTGCAGCCTAAATGAACAGTGCTGCATATAACACTGAACTGTGGATGAGAAACTTCTTCATCCTTGCTCTCAAGATCGCAGTAAAGTTACCTTGGCACAAGTCTGGCTCGACTTATCCAACTACAAATAACTTTCACAATAATGCTAGTGGCAGGATTCGTTGTTAACTAGGCCCCATATTCATCTTAACAATTTAACAGCATTATAAAGGCATTTACAGCATTATAACGGCAATCCCAAAATTATAACAGCATTCCCAGTATTATAAGAACATAAACGAACTTACAGACAATGCTTCTTAAAGTCTCGCAATGAACAGATGCACCCGTCTTCACTGAAACGCTAATTGTGCCTCCATTTTGTACTCTGTGTAATGGCTGACACCCCCGCCTTGCCTCGTGGCTTCGAGACCCTTAACTCGTAACTTCCTGGTCACGTGACCAAACTCAACACCATCATATCAGGAAGTTCTTGTGTAAGCACACCCCCATATCTGCCGTGGGGCAGAACATTGTGCTATGGCCAATTCACTGACCCGACATAGACGGACCGCATCGTTTTTTAAATCCAGTCACGCGTGTTCACCAACATGGCCTAAACAACGTTCATCAACGTTGTTTCGTCTTGGCTCACTAAACACATGCGCAAAAACGCAACAGATAATTTGTGATGCAGAGGGCTGACTCTGGTTGACGACCCACTATTATCTC